TCCTCCTCCTCCTCCTCCGCCCCCACCATCATCATCGTCATCATCACCCGTTCCAGCATACCCCTCACACGTTTCGTGGCACCATCGGGAACCCCACCGAAGGTCCCAGTGCTACCGTCCGCATGCGCCCCCCCCGCTGCCTGCCTCCCGGACTCCGTCATGCTCTCGAGCACGTGGCCGCAATGTTTCTGGAACTCCTTCTTCATGAACTCGAGAGCCGCGGCCACGTACTTCGAAGCGGTGGAGCTGACGTCCTTTGCGTTAATCCAGGCGTCGTTCGCCTCGGCGAAGACCATGAAAGACCGACTGCTGGACTCGAACTCCCGGCACTGGCCCAGGAAAGACTCCGCGCGCAACACGACCACGCCTTCGGCCATCATGACACACAAGCGGGCGCAAGACCGAGTCGCAAACAGCGCGCGGGTCTTGAAACCGACATTGAAACTCTCCGATTCGCTCGCCGCCGCGGAGTCTCGCAGGGCGTTGCAAGCGTCTTCGGACTCAGCGGAGGCGACGGCTCCAACTCCGCCCTCGGGGTCGGCCACCCCCGATCATCTCTTCCCCCTGCCCCCATCGACGATGGGGGCAAGGCGACGGCGTTGGCAGGATGGCGGAGGGACGATGGGCCATCGGCCATCGTCCCTCCGCCATCCTGCCAACGCCCCCGCCCTCCCACCCTCTCCCACCTCCTCCCTCCATCGTCTCCATCACCCCGCCTCGCCGCCCTGTTGGAAACGGAACCCCTGTCCATAAATGCAAATGCAAATGCGGGCGGAGAGGAAACTGCGGGCCCCGGGGTGGACATTGGCACAGGGGCGACGGAGGGCAGGAGATGAAGGGGAGGTGGAACGGCCGATGAGGCTGGAAGTGCCAGGAAGTCGATGGAAAGAGAACTGGAAGATACAGCTCCTCGACACCTGGTAGACGGCACCCTGCGAGGACTTCGGCCAAGGCGACCCCTTGTCGAAAGCGTCGTCGACCTTCTTGTTGTTCGAGCTGTCGGCGCTTCGCGTGGCTTCAGTCAGCACCAGCTCCACGCTCGCGGTGAACCACGACTTGACCCCCCTGAGGCTTTCGACGCTGGACGCCGCGAACTCGGCGAGAAACTCAAACTTCCCGAGGCCTAAAAGTCTCGACACAGCCTTGCCGCCCAGCTCGACGCAGCCGCCCTGCTCGGCGCTGTCGGGGTTCAGCAGCCTCGATCATGTACCATCGCCGGCCGCTGCGTGCCAACTCTCCATAAACTGCACCGCGGCTCGAGGATTACCGCCTTCTTCCATGGCGGGCAACTTGTTCAAGGCCACTAGCGATTGGCAGAATTGGGGCCCCTCCCCCGAGCAAGCCTCGCCAATCTTGAGAACGACCTGATCTGGCGCATGCGGCATGCGAACCGTGGAAGAGCGGACGGGAAGGCGCGTCAACGAAGGAGGCGCGAGGGCTCGATGGCCGATGGGCCGATGGGCCCTCGCAACCCCTTCGCGCCGCGCGACCCCCGCCGACCCGCTTCCGTCGACCCGCCTCCGCCGAAGCAAGAGCCTCGCCCCGACCAGGGAATTATGGGCGAGGCTTCTGATTCTGCGGAGCAAGACCTGGGCGTAGTCGGCGTTGCCCGCCACGGTGAAGTCCAAGGCCCACTTCGTGATCATGGCCTGCAAGATGCCCTTGGCGAGCTCCTCGATCGTCACTGCCCGCGCGGCAAGCGCCTCGGAGTCGAACTCGTTGATGGCTGGTTCGGCGCCCTCGCTCTTGATCTTCCCCCACAACGCGTCCGCCCTCGTCGCGAGGGCGAGGGGGTCGACGGTGAGAGTCAGACCCGCCGGGCTCTCCAATGCTTCCGAAATCGCCCTGGACGCAGTCGTGAGCTCCATTGCCTCGTCGACCATGTCACGCGAAGACGTGCTCGCTGCGAGGACCTCCTTGGAGTGATCCATCATCGTGGTTCTGTGCTTCGGCGATCGCATGAGCAACTGCGTGAAGCTGGGGTCCTGGCCCGCCACGGGCTCGCTAGCCTTCTCGGCTGCCTCCAGGGCGTCAGCGTGTTCCTGTCGGGAGAAGCTCTGGCATCCACCTCTACATGCCCGCCGTCGCTCTCCCGCACTTTCGCTCCTCTTGGCCCTGGTCCTACTACCCCTACTGCAAGCCCTGCTCGACCTGACTCACGCGCGAAGTCGCAAGCCCTACGTCCGCGGCAAATCCGCCCCACCCCCTCCTCATATTGTCCTCCCCCCTCCTCCTCCGCATCCCAATGCTCGCGCCTCCTCCCAATTATGATGCCCTTCCTACCCCCCCCCCACACACACACACACACACACACACACACACACACACACACACACACACACACACACACACACACACACACACACACACACACACACCACCACCCCCCACCACCACCACCACCCTCCCAACGAGGGCCTCATAGACCACCCAGGGACTCAGAGGGCCCATTGCAAAGCCCTCTTGGGCCACGACAGTGCCTGGGCCCGCGGGAGTTGCGCGCAGGCGCATCTGAAAAAAAAATCCAAATGAAATGACCAAAGCAGGAGTTACATAAGGACCCCGGGGGGGGGGGGGGGATTGCGCGGCCATCTCAAGGGCGTCGAGAGCCCTCTTGCGGGCAAAGCGGCACTGAGATCTAACATGTATATAAGTTGCGAGGGCAATGTCAACATGTGACACGTTGGCTCGGGACATGTTACATGTTACATGTCCCGAGCCAGGGGCGCACTAATGAACGCCTGGACTTCCTCTGAGGGCACCAAAACGACGCCCCAAAACGTCGCTCCGCCCCGAAAAGACATCCAGGACGACCCAGGGAACCAAACAATTGTTCGGGAGTTGCCCTTGCCACCTCTCAAGTGCCTGATCTGTTTCTTCCCCGAGAGCAGGCGTTCTTTGAACTTGTCCCTGGCCGAGCGGTGTTTGTCCAACCTATTCTTATCCTTGCGAAGTTGTGACTTGTACTCGGCACGGTCCTCCTTCAACTCTTTCTCGCTGGTGAACACCCGCTCGCAATGCCAACAGCCACCGCCCACGTTGTTGGGGTGGGCCCAGCGCATGCGCTTCGACGGGTCGCAGTGGTCAACGTCAGTGTTGGAGTAGCCACATATAAATGAACACTGTTGGACCTCCCAGTCACTCGGGAAAGGCTCGCACTCCACCGCGGGGCCTGGGCTGGGACCATCGCCAGGCTCTGCCATTGCAACGCAATGCCGATGCCGCGGCCGCGCGGCTCGCCCTCCTGCTGCCGAAACAGCTAGGGGGGCCACTACATTTAGCCGAGCACGCAAGGCCGCTGGTTCCGAATCGTGCGCCCGCTGCTGCGCTGGCCTCGTTTCCTGCGCCATGCCATGGCACGAAAGGCAATCGCAACGCAACGCAATGCGATGCCCCGCGCGCATCATGATCACGACGTGCGCCGTGCCATTTACCGCCAACCGTTCAACCACAATGGCATGCTGACATGCACTGCTTGACGGCGTAACGCCACGTCAATCTAACCTGGCGTGCCAAACGACGCGTTCATCTTCAACGCAATGCAATGCCGTCTTATTGGCGCGTTTTCCGACTGCGGAACTACGAAGGCATACGATATAAGAATGGGAGGGAGGGCGAGACGCCCGCTTAGCTTGCACACGCGCCTCCCACCTCCATCCTCATCCTCCTGCTCCTCTTGCCCTCCCTGTCCTCAATCCCTCCCCTCCCTCCCCAATCCACCGCAACCTCCTGCGCGGCCCCCTCCCCCTCCCCCGCCGCAAATCCCTCCCACCTTCCCCTCCTCTTCAATTTTCCTCCCCCGTAGACCCTTGAGCCTTCACACAGGAGCCCCAAGAGCCCAAGAGAGCCCCGAGAGAGCTCCAAGAGGGCTGTTTCACACATACATACATACATACATACATACATACATACATACATACATACATACATACATACATACATACATACATACATATATATATATATATATATACACACACGCACGCACGCACGCACGCACGCACGCACGCCGCTTTTTTTGAGGGACGAATCACGGTATGAACAGAAACTTTCGGAGCGTGGATTCCCTGGATCGGCGCTGGGCCCCCCAGGAACGGCGCCAGAGGCGCCGCGACGGGGGGCCAGAGCCGATCCACAAAATCCGAGCGGAACTCCGAAGGCTTACGGTCGGGATCTTGCGCCTGGCGTGTCGCGGCGGCGGCCGTGGCGACAGACGCTGGCCCTTGGGGAGGAAGTGGATAAGCGTGTCGCACGGAAGCGTGGTGGGCCAGAACCAGCAGAACGACACGCGATCCAAAGAGTCCCGGTCACGTGTCTGTCCCGTGCTTCGTCCCTCGATCGTTGGACGCTCCCCAACGCTGAGCAGGGACCGACCGTCCCAGCAGTCCCGTAGCCCTACCACGAAATGCCCTAGAACCAAGAAGTGTTCTAAATACGAATGCCCGGTGTATCAAAACAGAAGCCTGGTCTTTCAAAACAAGACAGTGTCAGCCAGAAGCGATCTGAGAACATTTCGCGCAAACCACAAAAGGTTCTTACAACATTCTTTGGTGGGCCCATAAGCGAGCCAGGACGTTTCCCCAGCGGATGCCTGGGGGCGCTCCCCCCCACCCCCGGGCCCGGGCGCCCTCGGAGCAGGGCCGCGCCGCCGCGGGGGCACGAGCCGGAGAGCGCGCCAGGGGCGGCCTGGGAAAAGCGCTGCCCTCGGGCCGAAAACGAGGTCGGGCGCACGGGGGGGGCCTCCTCCTCCTCCTCCTCCGCCGCCGCCTCCTCGTCCTCCTCCTCGTCCTCCTCCTCCTCCTCTTCCTCTTCCTCCTCCTCCTCCTCCTCCTCCTCCTCGTCCTCCTCCTCTTCCTCCTCCTAGTCTTCAGCGACCTCAGCGACCAAGAGTGCGTCTGATCATCCACGGGACAGCCAACACACTACAACAGGCAGCCTGGACACAGGCTGAAACCAAACACCAAACACAGCACGAACAAGACGGAACTGCAAGGGCCAGAGACCACCCTGCTGGCGCCGTGCCTCTGGCCCAGTCCTCAATCAGAATCATCGGCTCCTGCCGCCAACAGGGGGAAGATGAGGCACACCGTCCTTCTCGGACCCCTGAGAGGCTCGCACCAGAGAGAGGTGCCTGGCCCCGGGCGGGGCAGGAGCAGCAACAGCAACGGCAGGAACCACCTGGCTTGGGCCAGCAGGGGACGGGGCAGGAGCAAGGGGAGGGGGCGGGGGAAGAGCGGAAAAAGGCAGGGACGAGAAAGGGCGCGCATTGCCAAGAGAGGAGGCAAAGCCACCGCGCAACACACGAGGGCTGGCGGAGGTCGGACTCACAACACGAAGGCAGCGAGTACACCTGTGGACAATGCCATGACGCACCAGCACATGTTGGCTCATAGGGGCACGGAACCTCGGGGTTCGAGGAGGCCTCTTGAGAGTCCCATCCAGAGAGCAAATTGACGGAAGACAAGAAAGGACAGCAAGCATACCAGAGACCAGGGACTGATACTCGTCGCATGCTCTCTTGCAATTCTGATTCTGGACTCCAGAGAGGCTATGTAACGGGGCCCCCTGCTTAGCCCACCAATCAACAGCTGTGGATCCAGCGATGAGAGCTCTGGACAGGTCATCAGTGGCCTGCTCCAAGGACTGGTGAGCTTTCACTCTGCAGAGGTTCACCCATTCTGACGAGCCAGTGCGTCTGTTCATCTCCCTCCAGAAAAATGAACTAGCTGGGCCGCCCACTCAGAGCCCCAGAGGGACTGAGACCAGCGAACAGCCCGTGGTGATATACGTCAATGGGCTGCGGGGGAACCTCTGGGCCATGTTCTCCCCGCCGAGGCACGGCAAGAGCGAAGGGCCCCTGCTCAGCAAACCCCGACACCCGGTCAAATTCGCTGGGGAAAGGGGATAAATCCACGGAGAACGCTTTGGCCAAACATCTGCACGCAGGCCCCTTCCGCTCTAGAGACGTCCTCCCGCTCTCCGTTGCAGTGGGAGACGTCCACAAACATGTGGTCGTCAACTCCAAAGAAAAAGGGCTCCGTCGGACGACCATATCCCTCAACAAACCGCAGGTCCCAGTCGGCGCGAGGGGGCGGCGGGCCCAGAGACTCAACCCAAAGACGCGAAAACAGAAGCGACCCAAGCCCAGCAGTCAGGATCTGCTGGGGCTTCTTGGGCCCGAAATGCTCATTACGGTTGGCCAGAACATCTCGATGCTGGCAGAGCCAAGCTCCGTGCCACACATGATCGACGGGGGAGCCACAAAGCGGGCACCCGCCATCGACTCTGCGCCACCAGCGAATTAGCTGTTCGCCAGCGGGAGGGGAATCGCAAACGACTTGGCGATAAAATGTGCCCGAGCTGCGGGGGAAAGGCTTATGCTGCTCTCCTCATGGCAGGTAGCCGTAGCCCACCCTGAAACTCGAATCGGGAGAGCAGTCTGCATTGACAAAGTTGGCGATCTGCAGTCGCGCCGAAGGTCTGCGACAAGAGAAAACGCGACTTGCTGAGGAGGAGCTTCCGCCAGCGCCCAGCGACGTCCACTAGGGCTGTTGAACGTAGCAAGTCCCTCCCAAGTCCACCCAGACCTCTCCATCCACAGAAGCCTTGCACTGATGGGGTCCCTGGTCCTCTACAGCCAAGGGCGCCCATGGGAAGCTTTAAACTGAACCTGAGCTGCTCAGAAGGCCCTACTCAACTGTCCAGAGGACAGGGCATCCTGATAACGAGGCGGCCCAACGCGAGGCCCAGGTTCCAAAAAGAGCCACCATTCCCAAACATTCTGCTTGAGGGGGCCAGCAGCAAGTTGAAAGGACCTTGAGGCCCATGGTTGCCTGCCGAGAGGGCCCACATGACATCCAAGTTGCACTTTCCCGTACTGGTGCCTCCAGCACGGGCAACCGCTCGACGAATCGCGAGGACCTCGTTGGGGGTGACTCCTTGGGCCTCCATCCCAAAAGAGACCGTAGACTGCGCCCGGCTCCTGAACAACCGAGCCCTGGACTTCTTGGGGGCCTTCAAGGAGCTCAACTTGACGAGCCGAATACTCGAGGACCTCATACCTTTCTCACGAACCTGCTGGCGAAGGGGACAAGTTGGCGGCGACCAGCCGTGTGCGTAATACCGAGGTTGGATGCACCCACTCTGGCGCCTCTGCCAGAATCTGGAACTGCTCCCTCACCTGCTCAAGCAGAGAACGACTGCTGGCAACGGCAACATTTCTTGACAGCAAACGGGACCTTCAGCGCGCCGGAAATGTGCCTGGCCATGAAGACCGCCAATTCTCTAAGCTACCTTGTACAATCATGCGTCGATGCGTGCCAGGCGTGGATCGACAAGCCATCCACGTGCAAGCTGAGAGACATACCTGCAAACGCGCTGCCTGCCTGCACTGCAGGAAGCATGAAGGCCTTCGCCTCGTAAGTGGCCGACGCGCTCCCCGACGCGACACCTTGGGAAGACCAGGAAGGCTCCGAGCAGGCCCCGCCCACGTGGGAGATGCCCTTCCCAAGTATAGGCAGAGCTAGTTTACACCAGGATATACAACGAGAGCTGAGCTAGAGCCGCCTGGGAAACCAACTCCTGGCGCTGGATGCGCTGATCGTAGAAGTCGAATATATTCCATATCAGCGAGGCGAAACGGATACCCATGCCAGACCACATTTCAGCTAAGGCGCTTTGCCTTCAGACCGCGTCGAGAGCACTGCGGCCCTGCCCCATGGAGAACTCGGACCCGAAGCCGAACTCCCCCAAGCCCTGCACGGGTCCTTGTGGGTCTTGCCGTGAAGCCTCGCAAACCCGCTGTACTGCTCCATGGGTCTCCTGGCCCTGCTGGGCTGCCCCGTGAGGAAGACAGTCAGCTGCTGCGCATCGAAGGGTGCCTGACCAACCACATACATACCATGAAACATAAAGGGACAGGAAGGATCGCCCAGCACTCGATATCATAAAGCGACGCCAAGGGTGGAAAACATTAGGGACACGAGTGTTGGCTTTCAACCTGGAGCTGATCTTCCTGACGCGCTCAAGATCCACAGGTGGAGGGACAGGCACCCGACATGGCAACAAGGGCCGCCCGCGCGCCTGCCATGCGTCTCGCCAAAGAGCCCGCTCCGCAGCAAGTCGGCGGGGCAGAGCGGCAGACAACGCGTGGTCAAAATCGGCGACCTCCTCCGCTAGGGGCACGCCTGACTTTCAGAGAGCAAGTGCCTGATTGCAGTGATCATTGACAGAATCCGAACGCCACTCTTCCCAGGCCTGCTTAGAAATCTTCCTTTTCTCCAGAAATCCTATAGGTTGCTGCTCATCCACGAGCCGAATGAGGCCATCCAGAAGCGCGATAGTCCCCAGCAAAGTCCTCACCAAAAAGGTTGCACCGCCTCTCCGTGTGAGGGGCCACGGCAGGGGCCAAACCATTGAAAAATGAGCCTCCGCACCCTCCCAAGGAATGCACATCCTGGTCCTCCTCCTCCTCCTCCTCCTGCTCCTCCTCCTCCTCCTCCTCCTCCTCCTCTTCCGCCGCCTCTTCCTCCTCCTCCTCCTCCTCCTCCTCCTCCTCCTCCTCCTCCTCCTCCTCCGCCTCCCTCCTCCTCCCCCTCCCTCTCTTCCTCCTCCTCTCCTCCTCCTCCTCCTCCCCCTGCTCCTCCTCCTCCTCCTCTTCCGCCTCCCCCTCCCCTCCCCCTTCCCCCTCTCCCCTCCCCTCCTCCTCCTCCCTCCCTCCTCCCTCCTCCTCCTCCTCCTCCTCCTCTCCTCCTCCTCCTCCTCCTCCTCCCCTCCTCCTCCTCTTTCCTCCTCCTCCTCCTCCTCCTCCTCCTCCTCCTCCTCCTCTCCTCCTCCTCCTCCTCCTCCTCCTCCTCCTCCTCCTCCGCACTCCTCCTCCTCCTCCTCCTCCTCCTCCTCCTCCTCCTCCTCCTTCTCCTCCTCCTCCCTCCTCCTCCTCCCCTCCTCCTCCTCCTCCTCCTCCTTCCTCCTCCTCCTCCCTCCTCCTCCTCCTCCTCTCCTCCTCCCCTCCTCCTCCTCTCCTCCTCCTCATCCTCCTCCTCCTCTCCTCCTCCTCCTTCTCCTCCTTCTCCTCCCTTCCCCCCTCCTCCTCCTTCGTCCCTCCTCCGTCTCTCCGTCGTCTCGTCTCCTCTCCTCCGCCTCCTCCTCTTCCTCCTCCTCCTCTCCTCCTCTCTCCTTGAACGCCTCCTCCTTTTCCTCTTCCTTCTCGGCCTCATCCTTTTCCTCCTCCGCGTCATTGTCCTCCTCGGCCTCCTCCCCCTCGCCCCCCTCGTCTTCCTCTTCTCGCTCCTCCTCCTCACTCCTCGTCCCCTCCTCCTCTCCTCCTCCTCCTCCTCCTCCTCCCTCCTCCTCCTCCTCCTCCTCCTCCTCCTCCTCCTCCTCCTCCTCCTCCTCCTCCTCCTCCTCCTCCTCTTCCTCCTCGTCATCATCCTCGTCCTCGTCTTCGTCCTCGTGTTCGTCCTCATCCTCGTCCTCGTCCACGTCTTCGTCCTCGTCCCTTTCCTCGTCCTTGTCCTCGTCCTCCTCTGCCAAATCGTCGTCGTCATCCTCCTTCTCTGGGGCGCGCGCGCGGGGGGGAGCAGCGAGCGGCTGCCAGGCCCGAGCTGGATCGAGTCTTGACATCGGATCGCACCGGGAACGGATCGGATCGCCAGCGAAACGATCGAAATCGGATGGCCGCGCCCTGCTCCGGCTGGCCCCCGACCAGTGCATCGGAACGAAGCGAACCGAATCG